TGCTGAAACTCTTCTAAGCAATTGTGCTGGTTTCCTTCTTGTGAAGCTTATCTCTTCCCTGGAATGTGCTTTACTTTGACTGGAGTGAGTTCCATAGTCCCTACGTTCCCCCTCATCCCTCACGTCCAACACGATTTCTGTGGGATTTTTCCACTTGATTGTTTGTTTCCCGAAGCATCTCACTTCTAAACTAGAAAAGAAATCTCCACATGGTGATATTCCCTGCTCACTGGCCTCTATTTTTCTTCCCAGCCTTTGGGACACTTTGTGGGCTGGGATTAGTAACCCATGAAGGTGCCAGTGCCTTTGTGTAAGTGAGTTTATCTGCTTACTAGGCTGTAAGAAAAACGAAGGCAAGGACAGAAATGGATCTGACTTTGTACCTCTCTTAGAGATATGCAGTGTTCTGTACATAGGGCATGCTTAATGAATGTTTGCTGAAATGAATTATTTCTTTTCTTCTTCTCCCCACTTTGGCTCTTCATCAGATCAGCTAGAGTGTCTGGTTGGTTGGTCACTTGTCCCTCTCCATTCAACTCTACTTGATTCAACTCCATTCAGTTTGATTTCATTCTATTCGACAGATGATTTTTAAATGCCTTCTATGTGTCACGCATTCTTCTGGGCTTGGAGATACAAAGATAGAATCAAAATGGCCTTAATCCTGCCCTTTAGAATCTTATATTCTACTTCAAGCTACCAAATGGTTCTGGTGAGTAAGGTAAACTGAGCTGTCGGTCTTCATCTGAGCCCAAAGAACTGTCTGAGTAATCCTAGACAACTTTCTTTCTTTGTCTCTTTGTGTGAGTGGAACTTCCCTGGTAGTCTACTCCTTTTTAGGGACATGGCTTTTCCTTTCTAAATGACTCATTCCTCTTTGCTGTGCATGGAAATTGTTTCCATGGAAAAGGAAAGGAAAATGTTTACTCTGCTCACTTGCAGACAAAGGTTATTACTGGCTCATATCTTTTAAATTAGGGGTATCTGGGATGTCATCAAATCAAGGCAGCAAACATTTATTAAACCACTTATTATGTGTCAGGTAAGTGCAATGGATACAAAGAAGGGCAAAAAGACTATCCCCCCTCCCCAAGGAACTTACATCATTCTAAAGGAGACTATTACATGTAAATAACTAGGTAGAAAGGAAATAAGTATTTCTGAAGTGCCTCCTATATGCCAGGCACCATATTTTACAAATATTATCTCATTTAATCCTCACAATAGCCTTTAGAGCCAGTGCTATTATTATCCCCAATTTAAAGTTGAGGAAACTGAGGCAATGACTTGATCAGGGAGATACAACTAGTGACTGAAGTCAGATTTGAACTCAATTCTTCTTGAATCTAGGACCAGTGATCTATTCATTGTGCCCATATACTTCTAAGAAAAAGGATCGTTCATCTTTCATGTCTAAGAGGATCAATCATCACAGGTTTTGACTTGTGTATGAATTGGATTTAAGTGAGGCAGAGTTGCATAAAGTTGTCAACCTTTCTCTCTCTTCCAGAGTCTTAGATTTTATGAGCTTATTATAAGTCAGAGAGAAAAGGACTAAGAGAGATTGTCAGACTAAGGTAGAAGTAAAAACAGAAAAACAAAACCTAAGATAATGAAGAAAACATTTTTCTTTTTTTTTTTCCTTTTCTTTTTTTTAGGCAATTGGGGTTAAGTGACTTGCCCGGGGTCACACAGCTAGTAAGTGCCAAGTGTTTGGTCTGAGGCCAGATTTGAGCTCAGGTCCTCCTGACTTCAGGGCCGGTGCTCTATCCATTGTGCCACCTAGCTGCCCCAAGAAAATATTTTTCCAGTGGAGTGTAGCTGTGTGTTTGAGAGTCTAGAAAATGGACTTCCTGTACTCCCAATTCTCCAGCATGGGTCAGAGCTCCAACATTAGAGTCTAACAATTACACGATGCACTGCAAATTATATTTAGTCCTCCCACCCCATGCTGTAGACTCTCGCCTGTGGTAAACCTTGAGCAGAGGAGGACACGAGAGTTTACCAGCTTTGTGGTATTGGCAGCTAAAAGAGTGTCAGGATGGATGTGGGGTCAGGCACTTTGGGGTGGTGGATGATAATGTGTATCCCATCAACAGGTACCATGATGTGAGGGGTTACCCAGTAACCATCAGGGAAAGAAGAGACAAGTAGCAGTGATTGATTGCTAACTCCCAGCTGAGGGTTAGGAAGATTCTTTTTGTTAGCCTGACATGAAAAATAATTTGGTCTACTGTCTTCATGTGACATCTATCTGGATTGGGATGGAGCCTCCCAAGTCTTATCAAGCCTGATGATCACTACATATTCCTAGTGATTCGTATGGGGACAACTAATACCACCAGAAGAAACCTAGAAAGCAATGCTAAGGATTGTGAAGTCCTGGGGGAAAAGGACATTAGAGGCACAAGCATTATTTTTACTACTAGGGATTCAGTAGCAAAAGGCAGATTTGGAAAGTAGCAATGAATTAAGAAGATGATATCTGCACATAATGTTTGGATTTCTAGAACACTCCTAAGGAAGGCTGGTAATTTTATATGTTTGCTTGTAGTCTTGTAAATCTTACTGAGATTATGAAACTGGAAGGGGGAGGAGCTATAGCCTCCACATATCTGCCAGTCTTGATACTATAGAGAGTAATATTTTGTAGAAAAAGTCATCCAAAGAGAAAAGTTCTCAAGAGTGAAATTCTGAAGAATCATAGATTTAGAACCAGAAGGAATTTCAGGAGTCGTCTAGTCCAGAGGTGTCAAACTTTTGCAAGAAAAACTCTGGAGTTTGGCAGGAACCAGATTATACTGTAATTGGAAAATTCTTAACAAAATAAATAAAAATACAATACAACATAATATTAATTTGTGCTTTTCTAAGTTATTATAAAGGTCAGAGGGAACCCTTTTAAAAATAATATCTTATTTTTTCCCAGTTGCATGTAATAACAGTTTTTAACTTTTTAAAAAAAATTGAGTTCTAAATTCTCTCCCTCCTTCCTTCTGCTCTCCCCTTCTTGAGATAGTAAGAAATTTGATATAGGTTATACATGCACAATTAGGCAAACATTTCAGAGGGAGCCCTTTCTATTTGAGTTTGATACAATTGACCTCATCCAATCCTCTCATTTTACAGATGAGGAAACTGAGGCTAGAGAGTCTAACTGGCTTACCTAAGACTATCCAGGTAGTAAATAACAGAGCTGGGTCTTGAACCTTAGTCCTCAGGGCTCCAAACCAAGAGCTTTTCCATTGTACAGTGCTGACTCTTTCTATCGTGAATCTATCACTTCCAAAGTTTACCAGCAAATCATGCATTGATCTAATAGCTCAAAGCCACCTAATATCCAGTAGTATTTTAATAATTTAAATGTATTCCATCTTTGATTCTTTCTATTACTGATGTGTGTTCCTGACAATAAAAATATGATTCATTTACTCAACAAGCATACACATTAAGCTCATTCACGTATCTACATGAAAGGCACAGTATTAAGCACTGTTGAGAGAAAGACAGCAAGAATGAATAACCATCTTTACATTCTATTGCCATTTGGGATTGGACAGTCAAGGACTGGCTTCATAAAAGGGTTTACTAAACCAAAAATTGGCTAAGGGGAAAACAAACAGGGCACATCTGTAAGCATCTTCAAATATATCAAGGAAAACCATTTCAAATGCCCTTTAGGGAATCGTTATTAAATCATTTATTAGTCTACCTCTAATTGGCTGAGATGTCCATCCACCAGCTTTTCAATATTCCCCAATCTTCACTTATTAGATAATATTTGTCACTCAATCAGGAAGTAACAGTTGGAGGAAAGAGGGAGAAGGAGGGCATAGCCTCCTCTTCCTTCACTTTTCTGTGTTCCATATCTGGTTTTGGGCTGTTATTATTATAGAATTCTTACTTTTATCCCTGGGAATACAGATGAAGTATAAGATTCAGTCTCTGTCCTTAAGGAACCTACTTTCAGTCTTGCTAGAGAGAAAAATGCATCAAATAGAACAATACAAGTAGCATCTTCATACCAAGATGAATGACAAAGACAATAAGTGCTCAGAGGTCAGAAGAGTGGCAGAGCCCTCAATGCAGGTCATTAAATGACTTTTTAGCATTTGCTCCAACTGGCTGTTTGGTTAAAGGTCAGATTCCTCCTGCCACATTAGACATTCCATCTGGACTTTTTATTTGAGCTACTCCCCCTCCCCTCATCATTTTTCTAATAATACAGTCCCACCCTGGGCACCCACTAGAAAAAAACAAACAGGAGGTTTTTGTCTAGTGATGACATTTTGAGAACAAAAAGAACATGACATTTAGATGGAACTGAGTCTATGACTCCCCTCAGGGTGCTGTGACATTATGGATTTTGGATGGAGAAGCGTGAGTATGAATTGTGGGATCCACAGCACCAGCTGAGAAATGAAGAAACATTTGGATTTGAATACAGTTCTCTTCTGCCAGAGTCCTTGCTTTTGGAAATCAGAAAAGGAACACCCTTAGCTTGGACTGGGACATTCCCAAACAGCCTTACAACTATGTGGACCCCTCAGCTCATAGGACTGAATGAGGAGGGAAGCTCTTAACCTTTTTGCTCTGTGGCCTTTGTTTCTGAGGAATGTGTTGCTAAAAACAAGCCTTTAGGAACTATGTGTACGAGAGCAGCAAGTTGATACAGTGAATAGAGTGTCAGGCCTGGAGTCAGGAAGACCCAAGGTCAAATCTGGCTTTAGACACTTACTGGCTGCGTGACCCTGGGCAAATCACTTAACCCTGTTTGCCTCAGTTCATCTATAAAATGAGCTAGAGAAAGAAATAGCACTCTAGTATCTTTGCCACAAAAATCCCAAATGGGGTTACAAGGAGTTGGACATGACTGAACAATGTATAAGAGACTGGTACCCCTGCTAAGGGAAAGAGGCAGATATTTGGCCTGCTGTATCATCTGGCAAGAGAGAAGAAACATGAGTGAGTGCATTATTTCCGGTCCCATCGAGATACTTTCATCAGGAATACAGATGCATGATCACTGATACAAACCTGATATGTAGAAATCTGGTTTTACGTCAAAGGTAAATGATGGAGTGATTGCTCAACAAAAGGATGCTCTGGCTGGGTGTGTTGGTACATGCCTTATAGTCCCTGCCAGTGGGGAGGCTGAGGCTGGTGGATTTCTTTACAACATCTACATTCCCATCAGACTGGACTACTAGCCTTCCTTGATCTCATCCTACTTTTTCCTACCTCATTCCCACAGCCAGAATACCTCTCCTCCTCCCTGCCACCTCTCTCTGCCTGTTGAAGTATTTCCTCTATTTTATTCTCCAGCTCAGTTTCTGACTTTTCAATAAATCCTTTCTTCAGTAGCCCTACTACAAATGGTCTCTCATCTTTAAGTCTCATATGCCGCTCTGCTTGGACCTCTCCTAAGCATTCACTGCAGTTCAAATTGCAATTATTTGTGTGTTTGTTTTCCACCCTGAAACAGACTGTGACCTCTGTGAGGCTAGGGATTGTGTTTAATTCATCTTTGTTCCCACCTCCAACATTTTCTAGCTATGCTGCTGTGGGTAAGTCTTCTCAATTTCTGAGTCGCAGTTTCCTCATCAGTATAATGGGAATACTAATACTTGCACAATCTACCTTATAGGGTTGTTGTGAAGAAAATGCTAAGCTGCCATAGGAATGTGTGTTATTATTGGTAGCACAGTGAATAGCATTATTATAGGCACTCAGTAAGGGGCTGTTCAATTAAATGGCCCATTGAGGCTTCATCCTTTGTCTTAGATCACTCAGCAAAACTTTGCTTAACTGGGGCTAAAAATTTGGTGTTTTGATTCCTGTTCCATAGTCCCCCATCTAGACTCTTCTTTCCTTCCTTTCTTCCTTCTTTCCTTCCTTCCTTCCTTCCTTCCTTCCTTCCTTCCTTCCTTCCTTCCTTCCTTCCTTCCTTCCTTCCTTCCTTCCTTCTTTCTTTTCCTTCCCCCTTTTTCCTTTCTTCTTTCTCCCTTTTCCTTCCTTCCTTCTTTCCTCCCTCCCTCCCTCCCCCTCCTTCCCACTCTCCCTCCCTCTCTCCTTCCTTCCTACCCACCTTCCTTTCTTCCTTCCTATCCACCTTTCTTTCTTCCTTCTTCCTTTCCTTCTTTCCCCTTCTCCCTTCTTTCCCTCTCTCCTTCTCTTCCTACATGTATTTTTTAAAAATATCATTATATTTTCCTCCAACATCCCTTCCTCCTACCATTCCTGGGAGCTATACCAAATAGTAAATTGTATTTTTAAAAATAAAAAAATAAGAAAAGGAAAAATCAGCATAACTGATCCATATATCAAAATAGTCTGAAAATATGTACAACGTACAACACTTGTATATCTTTTTATATCTCTTCTTTCAAGGCATTCTTATTTTTTTAGAGGCATCTTTCTTGATGTAACTATAAAGTACAAGTCCCTTGGCTCTATGTCACAGCTATGATATGTAATGAGTCTGTTTCATTCATTCATTCATTCAACTAATGTTGGTTGGGTGAAGGACATTGTCTTAGGAGCGATGGATAATACAAAGAAGAATAAGCTATGGCCCCTGCCCTCAATGAGCTTACACTCGTGAGTAGGGAAGGTAAGACACATATACAAATCTCTGCAATACAAGGTAGAATGTGAGCATGAAATAAAAAAGGTACTAAGTAGTTCTAAGGGTGGATAGATTACTTCCATATGTGAGTTTGTCTCATCTGAAGGGAGGCTCTTTTCCATAACTGGGGAGCTTTGGGTTTATTAAAGTCTATGCCAATAACCCATAGTGTGAGAACCATCATGTTCAATTTCCTTGATGTTTCAGCCCAATTGTAGAAAGCATAACTTTACTTCTCCACTAGCCTTGGCCAACTCGCTGGAAAACAGCTGATACTAGTGATGAAAGGGACCAGGAAAAGAATGTATGGATGAACCACATGCTGAAGGTTGTTTTTGATAGAATCTTTCAGCTATTCCTTGGAGGCTTCAATGGCTGTGGCAGGTCTGCCATGATGTTCTCATTTTCTGTTTTTCTCTTTTCACATTTCTGAATATTGGATATAGGGCACATTTGTTTGGCATCTTGACAGGGGTGTGCTGGTAAATATTTAATAACTGGTTCTCAAAAACTATTCCCTGTATTCATGACACACTTGCAAGTTTAATCTGATTTTTCCATCACTTAAAAAAATTAAATCTTTAATTTCTTTCTTGTTTTAGTTTCCAAAATGAATGCAGGTATTGTTCTAGCTATCTGTATAATCTATACATGTTGGAGAGAGTGGGGAAGGGGAAGTTGGATGTTTGAGATCATGAAGGGCCCTTCTGGGAGGGAGCTAGCTTGGGGCTGGAATGTGGTATGACTATCCCTGTTTGACTAGCAGAGAGGGCTATGGGGATAGGAAGTACAAGTATTTCTCATGCAGTCATTGCCTTCCCAGGGATTTGGGAATTTTTGGAAGGGGTGTGGGAGAGAATGAGGTCCAATGAAGCCCTCCCCTACCACATTTGGCAGATACACTGTTGCTATTGTCCTGGTAGAGGGAACGGGCCGGAGCAACTAGGTGGCACAGTGGATAGAGTGCTGGGCCTGGAGTCAAGAAGACTCATTTTCCTGAGTCCAAATGTGGCCTCAGACATTTACTAGCTGTGTGACCCTGGGCAAGTCACTTAACCCCATTTGCCTCAGTTTCCTCATCTGTAAAATGAACTGGAGAAGGAAATGGCAAACCTGTCCGGTATCTTTGCTAAGAAAACCCCAAATGGGTCATGAAGAGTTAAATGTGATTGAAAACAACTGAACAATAACAAAGCTATCTTTATCTATTGAGATTTATTCTTCCTCAAAAGGAAGTTTATAGTTTTTTTTCATGAGATTGCCCAAAGACAGTGGATATTTTAATTCTTTTGTTAGTTGAGTCTGTAGCTATACTCAGCTAGCACCACAGAGTCCTTCAAATCAAAATTTTTCTTTCTTTTTGACTGCCTTGCTTTCCGAGGGATGAGTAAATTCCTTTCAATTGCCATCAGGTCCTTGACAGCTATCAAGGTATGAAATTTGTGAGAACTTTACTTAGGAACACTGGAGGGGTTGGGTAAGTGGTTAGTTCCGTCTTGCTTTATTATAACTGTACCCATGTAACTTCTTACACTGGCAAACCGAAAACCTGGATTGTTTTTATGACCAATGTTCTTTCTTCACACCCAGGTATTCTGAACCATAAATCTGGATTATCAAATAGCTACCATGATCAGTTTTTGGGTTCTGCATACTCTCTAACTCATGGAACATCTCACATGTCTAAGTATGGACTTATGTGTATACATCCTGTTTTCAGGGAGACTTTGCCCTATAATATGGTATTTTTACACTGATTGCTGCCTGTACAAGTGTGAGAATCAGACAGATGAGTCTATTTCCTTGACCTTGAGTTCACACTACAGAAAGGTAAAAGAATTATAAGCTGTCAGCTTTAAGTAAAACTAATTTTTGAGGCACTAAAATTTATATGCACTGAACTTTGTGATTTTTATTGGCTCATTTCTTTTGGAAAGAATTGTTATATATTGAAACCTGATGGAAGCAGTTAACTTTAAAGGGCCTATTTCATGTCCAGAATGTGAATATGTACTGTATGCATGTCATGATTATGAAATGTTCCTGCCATGAGAAGCGATGCATTTTGTGAAGGTGCTCTGGACTGCTTTTCCAGTTCTAGGGAAAGGCTACACTTGGTGTCTCCCAACCTGATCAGCTAATCTACCAGCCAACCCACCTTTACATTTTTTTGGGCCAAAGTGGATGATTTTAGCCCCAAATTTCAAAGGAAATTAATTTTCTGCCTGTCCTCAGAGACAACTGAGGCCTAATTATATAGTGACCTGAAGATGCACAAGTCCTGTGTAATTTTTGAATCATGAACACCAGATCTGGAAATATGCAAACAGCCCAACTTGTAGCTATTAGGGAACTGGTGGCGGAAAGAGTATAACTAAGAGTTCAATTCAGGGTTTGGCTGTTTCTTCAATAAGACGATTTCCTTGCCCACTAGAAATTATGGGAAAATCTTTTTAGACAGAAAGTCCTAAAATTCATCATGTGTGGAACAGTGTGGAATGTTTTTGGGGTTATAGAAGGAGTATTAATACAGTCTTTGCTCTCGTTGAACTTCTAGTCAGAGCCAGCAGTAGTTCTCATTATTACTTTAGTAAAAACTTCTCGACAATTAGTTACTAGAGCAGGTGACCTCTTATTTTTCTTTCCTTCCTTTTTTCCTTCCAGTTTTATTTTACATTTCTATGGTTTTATTTTTGGTTTCCAATTTATGTATTTCTCCTTTAATTTTTAAGGTCTTCTCTTTGGGGCTTTTAAAAGGTTTATTTGTTGGCTTACTATTTTTTTTTTTTTGAAAAAGCATTTAATCCTCTCATTTTCTGTTTTGTTAATATATATTTGTAGGAATATGATTCCCCCCCCTGAGGATTGCTTCAGTTGAATCCCAGAAATTTTGGGTTGTTGTTATTGCTTCTCCTCCTCCTCCTCTTCCTCTTCCTCCTCCTTTTCCTTCTTCTTCATTCCCTGCCCTCCATAATTCTTAATTGTTTCTATAACTTGTTCTTTTACCCATTCATTATTTAAGATTTCATTGATTTTTTCCATTTGAATCTATGGCTCTTGTTTGTAGTCTTTGAACTGATTATCATTTTCATTGCATTATGGTTATAAAGAATGTATTTATTATTTTAGCACTTTTATATTTGTTTGTAATATCTCTGCCCTAAAATACGGTCAATTTTGGTCAAAATTCTATGTGGTGCTGAGAAATGTATATATTCTTTAGTAGTCCTGTTTAGAAGAGGCTATAAGTCTTTTAATTCATTTCACCAATGATTTGTGCAGTCTATTTTTCTCCTTTTATTTATCTTTCTGTTAGACTTATCCAAAATTTACAGAGGAACTCTGGAATTGCCCATCACTATTATTCTATATATTCTTGTAATTCAGTTAATGCTTCCTTCATGAATTTGGATGTGAAGGCATCTGGAGCATATAAGTTTA